CGTCAGCAGAAATCCGTTTTAGTTTAAATTATTTTTTCCTTTCCGGTGCTTTCCTTCCTTCTTTCTCCACTGGCCTTGAGACTTTTTTCCTGGGTTGCTATTGAACTGTCGACGTTCGCCGGCTGTTTTTGAATGCTCGGGTTTCCTTGCCCACTGATTCGCTTTTTTTCTCCGTAGCCAGCCAGTGTGTGCTTGAGTTTGCTGTAGTCTTGGCGTACCAAATTGGTTTCGCTGTTGATATTGGCGTCTTCTTTCTTTCGACGTCCGCCGTTCTTCTACTTTCAAACTGGATTGCTAGCTCAAATAACTTTTCCAGTGTAGTCGGATTTCTTAATTCAATAAAGTCTTGCACTTGGGGTAGTAACCTCGGCAAAATCACTTGAATTATTTCAGGATCCGGACGGTTTCCATACAAGAGCTTGAAAACGTGAATTTTTCTTAAAATAAAGCTCGAGAGGTTTTCGATTCTTTGTTGATATATACTGAAAAGTTCCGTTTCTAATTTCGCACGATCCCTTACAACAGGGAAGGCTTTTAGTAGGGCAGTCTTGAAATTTTCGTAAGTATAGGTGGGACTTCCTGCTTGACCCAAGAGACTTCTGCCTATACATTTGAACCAGTTAAGCGCTTGGCCCCTCAAAGCGCTGGTAGCTAAGGTAACTTTTTGAAACTCGTGCACGGGGTAGAGCATGAAGTGGTCATCCAATTTTTCCAAAAAACTGGTTACCGGTGAGTTTCCATTAAACGTTGCTTCTGGTTTCATCGAAGCGCGCATGGTCTGGACGATGTAACCCAAATCCTTCCAGGGCGGCAGCTGGCATTTCTGGATTCTGAGCCGTTTTCTGCAGGCAGCACAGGTTCTTCTTGAAAAACTCGGCCATGGTTATTCTTCGTTCGGGCGCCACTATCAGGTTCAATGTTCTTTCTTCTTCTAACCTTCTTCGGGAAACATACAAGGACCTGACTCGGAACAGAGAGCTTACTAAAGCTATGTTCACTAATTGTAGTAAGTAGACAGGATACAGACGAAGGGTATATACAAAACCCTTTATTTTTTTCTTTTCTTTATATACAATGACTTCCGTACTTCGGAATACAATGACCCTCCACTCGGGGTCTAACGTAAAAGATATCAAAATAAAACTAAACTCTAATTTAACTTTAGAATGGAAGATTGGCCTTATAATAACAGGAAGCGTATGTAGCACAGAGACTGTGAACACTACAATACGTTTAATTTATCAAGAGGATTAAAACCTCTGGCCTGGAAGGCAAAGTAGCAACTGCGTAACTTCTAAGGTAAGCGGCCTGCTTCGAACTCACGGCTTCCTCTCTTCTGCTTGGCAAAAAGGCCACACTTAAATACTTGGCGTTCGCCAGACAACTTTGCATAAACTCCTTCACGCTTATAATTCTGGCCGGAAGTAGAAAATAAGAAGTGATAGTAAAGATTTAAAATAAAATAAACGTTAGTAAAACTTAAGATCCTTACAAAGTTTCTCTCGAATTTGCTTTCAAGTTCTGCTGATATTCAGGATGCCAATCTATGAACCCTATATGAAATTTTGGAGTCAATCTTTCTAAAGGATAATCCAAGGAAAGATTCATATTCTAACTATAATACATAGTTGCAATGAAATTCGGCAAACAGACAACGATATTCCACTCTCAAAACAAGAATTCCAGCTAATAATTAAAAACCTAGCTTTGAGAAGTGCACCAGGCCCAGATGAATCAATATCATATTATAAAATGAATCAATCAAGCTCATTCTGATATTATCTGCAATTTTTGCAATCACTGTTCAAAACTTTCGAATTTCCTGATTGTCTGAAGCTTGGAAATATAATGCTCTTCAATAAGAGGAATAAAAACATGGATAAATCCAACTTTTATCGTCTTATTAATCTCCTCCCAGCCTCGGGAAAAGTTCTGGAGAGATGTCTCATTGGGGCTTGGGTCATAATGCCGACAGTCGGGATTCCGACTGTCCAAAACCCCGACAGGGCCGAAATCCCGACAACCCAAAGTCCCGACACGGTCGAAATCCCGACAGGGTCAAAATCCCGACAGGGTCAGAATCCCGAGTGTCCAGAATCCCGACAGGGTCAAAATCCCGACTGTCCAAAATCCCGAATGGGACTTTGGACCCATCCCATTCGGGATTTTGGACAGTCGGGATTTAAGTTAATATCTAAATATAAACACTCAATTTAGCTTAATAAAAATACAATTTTTAACTAACTATTACATATTACTAATTAAAAGTTTAAATCAAAAAATCATAAAAATTATGTCATTACTTAAAATAAATTTAACAAATTGAAATGACCATTAAAATTTGAAATGAAGATTTATAAATTCTTTTATTAAGAAAAAGAAAACATCACTTACACATGCAAACGACATATTTACAGTGACACATTGTGAGCGATAGCACGAAGATATTCCATCACAGGTCGATTATCACGATCGTCCACAACAGTCATAATTCTCCTTTCTCTGTCATCATCTACCTTCCTACGTTTGGTTGTTGTTTTCTCCGCAAAGAATGCATTCAACTTGGTATTCCACATGCTCCTGTTATTTTTGAAATCCTTCTATGATGTTATAAACGCCGACATGTCCGTCCAATTAAGGTCTCTCATCTTCTGTGCCAATCCTCGACAGCATTTTGAGTGCGCGGAGCATTTATAGCTGCCTTTTCTAGATCACTAATGATTCTAGATGGCCTCAGTTCAATATTATTTTCTTCAGCGAAATCAATTAAATCTTGGAATAATCTTTTGTAATTTTCTTCAGATTTGCTAGTCAGCAAAGCATATACTAGTTGCAGCTGTGGAAGTATGTTAAGGGGTCATTAGGCCTTATTGGGATTTCTCCTGTGTCGGTATTTTGACTCTGTCGGGATATTGGACAATCGGGATTTCGACCCTGTCGGGATTTTGGCTTGTCGGGATTTCGACCCTGTCGGGATTTTGGCTTGTCGGGATTTCGACCCTGTCGGGATTTTGGTTTGTCGGGATTTCGACCCTGTCGGGATTTTGGCTTGTCGGGATTCCGTCTGTCGGGATTCTGGCTTGTCGGGATTTCGGCTGTCGGGATTATGTCCGGATATCGTCTCATTGGCACGTAATAACAAGTTTGGGTTTCAAAGCTTCCGTTTAACAAGTTGTGCAATCAATTCAGCTCTTCAATAAGTCAATAACAATAAAATCAACCAACTTCATTCTGCAAAAATGTCTTGATTTTAGCCTTTGATTCTTTATGATGACCTACAAGTTTACAATCTCTACGTTCGTTTAAGTGCCCCCAAAATTTGTTCCTTATTATTTAAGATTATTTTAGAAACGGAAAAATATCACTCTTTACAACAACCCTGAAATTATGCGTAACTAATTCAGAGGATTTGAATAAGTATGGATGTCTGGAATATCAATTTCAACAGGAGCATTGCCAATCTTTGGTCAAAGCACTCAAAACTGTTGCTTTCGCATACTCTATCACTGTTGTTACAAGTGGTCGTGCCAGAGATAGTTTAAAGCATAATTGTAATGAAACACTTTAATATTTAATAAACTTTGCAAAATTCAGAAACTACAAATCTCGCATAGTAAGTCTTTAATCTTAGTAATCCATAAACCAAGACAAAGCATATACAAAACTTTAGCTCTAAAAATTAATAATCGAAAGATCAAGTCTTTGAGGATAAAATCTCGTCACATACCTGAAGAAACTGTTTTCAAAATGTTGCATTACTAACGATTTGAACAGCACTGCAAATTATGTGATAATGGATATGATAGTTCTGAACCGATAATAGAGGTAAAACCTTAAGTTCTGAAAATGAAAATAATTGAAAGCCATATCATATATGAAGAAGATGCTTAATTAGGTAATTTATATTAATATTCATTCAAGTAAATAACAATGTTTTTAATGCGTATTTTTAAATTAATTTTTTATTTACTATTTTTCAATTTTAAAATCCTGCTGAGCTTAAGTTCGAGAGCAGCTTTTTTTACTGTGTTTTCTAATTTTCCAGTTTTAAAATAATACTGAGGCTTATATTCAATGTAACTCGGTAATAAAATAGTCTAAGAAAGATAACACTTGCCCTAGACAGGAGATCTATATGATAGTGCTGTGGGAAGAAAAGAGAATTAAAAAAAAAAAAAAATTAGAAGAAATATATGCTTTTAATTCTCGTTAAAAGGAAAAAGGGACGTTGATAAAAAAAACAGTTTTGCATGCAAATACATATACACGAAGCCTGTATTTTAAAGAACATTTTTTCCCGCTAATCATATACTTTTCTTAAGTTGTAGTGTTATTATTATTTTAATTAACCAGTTATTTATATTTTACATCTTTACTATGACACCTTCTTTTTTGTTTCCTTACCAAAAATGTACATGAGTTAAGAGTATTTAAGTCTAGGGTTTTGAATTGTAAGACAGAGCGTGTTTCTGCCTTTCAAGGCCACATTATTAGGTTTCACCGTCTCTTTCGGCTTTGCATTATTGCTGTCAGCATTTAAATTGTTTCCCCAGTGAGAAGTTTGAGCAAACTTCGCTTTAAACCAATTGGGTAATTTTTGACTACTAGACATAGTTTAACTTTTGAAATTTCCTATTATTTTAAAATACATCGCCACAAATGGTGGCTTGATTCTGTAAGCATGAGACGAGCGTTTAGGTTAAAATTCTTATTTTTATAAAAAAAAAAAAGGTTGTTTTAAACTTTTTCAAGAAGACTCTGTTGTTACTCCAGGCACAACGATAATTTGATCCACGCTTGTTAGAAGTTTGATATTAAGGTTTATGCTACCAAAGAAAGTCAAACTCTATAAAGCGAATTCGTGCCGGCATGTATAGGTTGCAGTCATCCACTAAGGGTTTACATTGAAAATTTCAGATGAGAAAATTACAGAACTCTTGAAGAGATGAACTCAGCATGTAGTCTGCTGTGATAAGCTAATAAAATTTCCACCACCATACCTCTTCTTCTTCTTCTTCCTCTTTGATTGTTGGCTCTTGTTGGTCCCCAGCTGAGGGTCCTTCCTCCGCTTGAGGTTCCTCATCGGATCGATTCTCTCCACGGGTGGCGTCTTCGTGCAAAGACATGAGACATTTCATGTCGTGAGGTGTGATTGGATGTAGAGATGCTACAGTTTTCCTCTCCCGAGAATCTCTCCTTTGAGGATGGTCCGAAGGTAAAGCTGTCGTAGAGAAAGATCTCTGCCCTTTGGCCGGTACTGGATGGCGCTCCGGAAGTGTAGAAATTAGAGCTTCAAGCCTGTAAGAAAAAACGCGACATAGTGAGACTGAAGAGATGATTAAAAGAACTATTGTGTTCCATGTTGCGGATTAATAGCATCTTATATGATATTCTTGCTTAGCATTATTCAGATTAGAGCTAATTTTCTATTTCTTGTGCTTTAAATTAAATTCGTTACTTCTGCAAAGTTAAGAATGTTGCTGAAATCCTACTTCTGTTATAAAATTTTGTAAATGATGGATTAATGCTAGTAAAAGAATGTGTAATTCTTGCGTAATTTAAACAGATAGCATTTTTTTAACCTGTTCGATTGTGAATTAAGAAGCAAGAATGAATTTGATTATTTAAACAAAAATGTCTTTATTACTGTGCTGGAAATTCAAGTGGGTCTTGGGCAGCAATAAATTTTTTTTATATATTCCACTTCATACAGTAATTAGGTTTCTGCCAGAGCAGCACACATAAAAACAAACCCAGTACTCGCCTGAATTCTTGATTGCCAATCGAACAAGCTTATCACACCATTAAGACATGCAACACAGAAAAAGGAAATTTCAGAGTTAGCTAAAAATGTTAAACACAGAAATTAAACAGTTTTGCAAATTTCAGTTCACGTAAGGGTCAAATTCCACTCATCAGCACGTTGTCACATGTGCTAATTTAAGTTATTCTGAAAAGGCTCAAAGTTATTTGGGTGAAAAGGAAATTATAATTACTAAACTCTTTAATTCTAGTAAATAACTCTTTATTTTTTTTCTAGTCGCCAAAATCATTTAACCTAATATATAATAACGTGTGGCAAATCAAACTGTCTTGGGTAGTACTTGTTTAGTAATTTAAGATAGGATGAGAGTTCTGTCCAATATTTTGAGCCTATGCCTCTTACCTGAGGTCATTCTATAGAAAAGATACTTACTTGAGAATATACTAGATGATCTACGCTGTTAAGGAAAGGAAGAATGAAGTGTAAATGAGAAATGTAAAAAGTGTAATTACAACTTTCAGTTGTGAAACTGAAAGTTGTAATTACACTTTCTTAACTTAAGTTTCTTAACTTAAGTTTCTTGCACTTGGAATTAAAACAAAATAGTAAGAAATGATGAAAATATCTTCACTCTTTGACTATTCAAAAAATCTGATGTGTACACCACATGTCTTCCTTCTACCGAATATTAAATTATACGCATTTTTTCTTGCATTTCATTTAAACTTATTGGATTGAATTAAATCTACTTCGCCGACAGCGCATAAACCACAATAGAATAAATGCATTTTTTAAAATTCACTTTGTTTACCATAGCGACACTCAGGCGCTAGGTTTACTTAACAGTATTATATTTCGTTCATATTGTAACTCAGAATGCACAAAATTTATATCATTTAAAGAATTATCTAATCGTTCCCACATGTTCTATTCAAATACTATAATAAAGCTAGAACGATGTATAAAAGAAATACAAAACAAAACAGAAACAGTTTTTCACAGACGATTGTGTATTTCTCATTCAATTAATTCAGTTTTCACTTCGCTTTTAGGCAAAAATACATAAGAACTCAAAATATCTTTATTAAAAATTACGAAGTAAACCTTAAACGCTTATTTCCTCGAAAAAAATTCCAGAAAGGATTAAGCATGATTTAAATAATAAATGAAGGCGTTATATTTGTTGTTGCGAAGCTAAGTTTCTCTAGATTGGCAACAAATCCGCTACTCATCTGTTTCAAATGTAAACAAGAGCAATGGCCGCCATCAAATTAGGCTTAGCGGCACTTAAACAATTTTAAAATTGTTGATAATTCTAAAAATATTGCATACAGATTTATTAAAGGCATAAAACCCTTAATGGGAAGATAAGAACAACATAATTCAATCATTTTTAAAGCAAAAAATGTACAATTTACAAACATATAAGAGTAAAGAAACTGAGATCACTGAGTCGCATAACAAAGTGGATATATATATAAATATATTTATATACGTTTGGTGTGGCCGATTGCAACCAAAGTACGAGGTGCACATCTACATGTTATAGCAGTCCTATATACAAAATTTCAACGTTCTGAGGCTACTCGTTTTTGAGTTATGCGAGATACGTACGTACGTACGTACATACGTTCGTACAGACGCCACGAAAAATTCTCTTCAGAATTCATTTTAAAGCAGTTTTATAATTTTTTGGAGGAAAAGAGGGTTTTATTCTGTCCTTACGTACAGATATAACGGAAATACATCGTTAAATTGCATTTGAAATAGGTCAAAATGGGATATTTTCGTTGAAATATGCTGCCTGAAACTTTTCGCGATTACAATACTTCCTTTTTACTTCGTACAAGGAAGTAGAAATATAAGGAAGTTAAGAATATTATTGATTAAAAAATCTGTTGTTTCATTCTTTGCTTTCATTCATCATTATCAATTTATTGCTTCGTTGCTTCAGTTTATATTTCGGCCAAGAAAGCCAAAAGTGAAACGTGATTTTAGGGATCATACAAAATTGAATTTTAAATAAATTTTTAATTTGTGCATATCTACAAAAGAAAAATCTGAAACTCATATCTATAAAGCATTTTTTTACTTTAAATGCATGGTTTTGAAATTTCTAGTCAAATATTTAACATAAAGACATTCTTAGAAAAATTTTTATACTATATTTTAATTAATAATATTACGTGTAATCTTTCTGCTTAAGAATATGTACTACATTAATTTAGTTATTGAAATTTTCCTCCAAATTTAGGGTTATCCTTATATACATGGTTAACCTGTTTATATATGGAATGATGGTACTACAAATAATAATGGAAGCACCTAAAATATATGGAACAGTGTGGTGTACCTCACACCTGATATGGGGTAAAAGAACCTTTTAGCATCTAAAACTGCTTGAAATACTTTGCAGTGGAGGCTTGCATATTCTTACAGATGATATTTGATATTTGAATCCGTTCCTTTATCAGGAACGACGTTTATTCTATGGTCTAAAATAAATAATTCTATGGTCTAGAATAAATAATTCTAAATATTCGAAAAGCTTTTTCAGTTGACGTATTAGATTTCTTGGGGATGATTTTCCATCCTGAAAAATTTTCTGACTCTGCTTAATTATCCTAATTTTAATCCCTTTTTACAGTCATGTTTTGAAGCATTTGATTTTAGTTGTTTATCTTTCACTTCTTTTCGGTCAACATATGGTTTCGTTGCTGATCATTTGGCTAGAACCTTCTGGTTGCTTTTCTTTGCTGTTCTTGCTTAGACCCATGTTCCGTTTCGTGATGTTCATTTAACCTACTAAAGAGGTCTGCAGCTAAAGTCCCGTTTAACCTTTAAAACTTCATTTCTGAAAATGCACTCACGTGACGCTTATTTTTATTGCTTATAATTAGTATCTTTAGCATTTAGATATTTGGCGTCTTCGTTTTGTTACATTAATTATTCCGTTTAAGAGGGTTCATGAATGAAACATACTTTAGAAACAATATAGGACTGGCATAAATGTAAGAGTTTCACCCTGAATTAATGTCCACATTTAAATTGAAAGTCTGTATGTAATGGTGAAGTTTGATTTCAAAATGTTTCGAAAGAAAATAAAAATATATACTGGGGAATTAATTACCCGGGGGAAAATTGGCGCTCTTGTTCCTGGAACTGTTGCTGCTCTTTCTGTTCTTGATATTGTTGTTGTTCCTCGAGGGATGCTGTAGGGGGTGGAGACTGCAAGTTTCGAAAGCTGGTGCTCCTTTTTCTCAAGGGCTCCGGTTCCAGGGTGGGCATACCTGTGGCAGAAGTCGTAGTTGTCCACGTGGCTGTTGACATCCGCCGGAGTAGGCTCGGAGGGAGGTTCTTGCGGAGACGCTGCAACAACATTGAACATTACATTAGGTTGGGCTGAAAACGACGCCGGAGTCTCGTTCAAGTTCTAAGCAAGAATTTTCCCAGAATTGATTTTAGGAATTTAACCTCTCTTTCCTTGTATAGTACTGTAAAAACCTTCGTGTTAGAAAACGTCAAAAATTCAAAGTGCCTACTTAAATTACGAGTCGAATTACGAAGTTTCAAAACTGCTAGTTGGATGCACTACCACTTATACCACGAAAGAAGCACAGAAAGATGCATTAATTCCTTACATTTCCCCCCATTTAACTCTCTGGAAGGCGGTGGTTACCTACAGTAACCCCCTTTTCTATTGAACGTCTTACTCACTAGTGTGAATGAGATTTCAAGACTGACCGTTTCTGAAGTTCCATTGCAGATCACTAGATGGCAATCAAGAAACATAAGCCAGTAGTTGATGCAGCAATTCGTCTTCAAGAAAATAAGCATCAGGCATCCAAGATAACATCACTACGATGTGCATTCTGAAGCACCAAGAAAAAGTCTCTAAGAACAGTGTGGGAATGCAGAACATGCAAAGTTGATTTCTGCTTGATAAAGAGAAACTTTTTCCATAAGTACCATAGAGGCTGATTTGTAGGGATGTGTCCTGTTGGCGGTGGTCACTGACAGAAGTTGTCATTTTTTTCACGCGTCTTGGACAAAATATGTGCAATTTTTGCAAATACTTTCATTGTAATACTTGATATAGTAAATAAAAAAGAGTTTTGCTGAAAAAGTTAATTGTTTTTCCTGCCCCTCAAAGAGTTAAAGGTCAACTGGAGAGAGACTGGAGAGAGACACAACCAGTCAATCAAATCAAAGAAAAGGACGATTTATAGTTCAGAAACGTTTAGCTTGGGTGCCATTATAAACACTATTAAACATTTTGAAATCGGAAATTTGAAAAAAGAAACCATGCTTTCACTGTGCTTTGAAGTACACACCATAACAGCATGCACGGGGCAATACGATAATTCCTTATAATGGATTCACTTAAATTTCATAAAACTAAATACGATGTTAACTATTTAGCTGATATTCAAAAACAGAAATTTTTGCTACGTTTCTGGGTAATGTAAAATTCTCTAAGCAATTTTAATTTATAAGTATTCCGCTTAAGTAGAATCGTGCCTCTGTTTCAGTATCTATCATTTATCGCGGATATCAAAAACTGGAAATTTCAGAAATAAATGGTTTATAAATCCTTAAATTCCATGGCGGACGCGAAGTGACAATAACGTTGTGAGCTATATCAGCCCAAAGGAATGATCTTCGTAATTCTTTTAACTTCTAGTTTTCTAGGTAGGATCTATATTTTTTTAACCTTTAATGGCATGCAGGAAAAAAATACCCGAAAAACTTCTCAAAAATCAGTCCGCTGATTAGAATAGTTCTGTCTTCTTAAGGTTGCCCCAAATGCTCGCTGTATTGTCCTCCCACGCTGGTCTGCGCCATCATAAAAGTTCTTTGGATCGAATTTTCGATGCTTAGATTGAAAAACAATTATGCTTAGAAACTTAAGAAAAGGTTTAAGCTTAGAAACTTAGATTTAATTTAATTGACCTAGACTGATTAACTTTGATTTCCTGAAATTTTAGCAACACACGTCATACACCTTCTCAAGTATCCCTGAAACCTTTTCAAGTGTCATTTAAGTAATATCATCACATGGTTTATGTTTGTAAAACTTAACTCTGGCAATTTTATAAAAAAGACAAAAGATTAAGTATATTTAGAAATATATTAGACAAAAGATTAAGTATATTAAGTATATTTAGAAGTATATTTAGAAAATGGTTTAAATATATTTAGAAAATGGTTTTAATGGTTTAAGATTAAGAAATTAAGATTTAATTTAATTAACTTAGATTAATAAACTTAAGTTAATTAACTGAACTAACTGATCGCAAACTTTTTATACCATGATGCATCTCTATAAATGATAGTTCTGACTCGCGATTTCAACTGATTTTCTCTTCATTGTCAGTTGTCGTCTTATATAATTACGTCCATATCTAAAATAATTACGTTCATTTTACGTTTTATATAATACGTTACATAATTACGTGCATATACATATAAATACGTCCTTATACAATTACGTCTTATATAATTATGTGTATATACATAATTATATAAGACGTAATTACTGTGTAATTAACTAAAAAATAAAGCATCAGTTTAGATAAAAATTTCTAATGCTAATAAATTAACTGACGAGAACTAATTGCTGTGCAGACTACCATTTCAATCAAATTATGTTTAAAAAAATCTTATTTATAGAATATTTTTATAAATTCGTGTTCTAGTTTTATAATTCGTGTTTACATCCTTATATAATTAAATCTTATATAATTGCGTGCTTATGCGTATAAATACGCCCTTATTAATACGTCTTATATAACTACGTGCATATAAATATAAATACGTCCTTATACAATTACATGAATGTACTACATACAAATACGTCCTTATAATTACGTGCTAGTAGATATAAATAAGCCTTATATAATTACGTCTATATGTAGTCTTTATTTCCGAAACTGTTGGTCGAATGCATACCTCCTTCTAAAGTAAAACTATATGGACTAAAGGACCGTATGGAAAATCAGCTTTTGCAATTTTTGTAAATTGATTATTTAATTTTTACAGTGGCATAATAGAGATATGTAATTTAAAAGACTAATGGATTAATGGAAAGATCAACGAAGAGGAAAAAAAAAAAAAGAAAAAGGACAGTTCTATATCTCCCGTTCTACTGGGACGATTGAAGAAATTCAACTTGCTTCAACTATAGATAGCATTGTTCTCATATAGGTATTTTGACCCAAAATCGAATTTTTCTGAAATAACATGCCAATTTTTTTCCATATTTCGATTGTGCGACTGAAATAATGCCAAACTGCCAAGTTTTGTAAAAATCGCAGGAGTAGTTTTTCAAAAATTAGTTCTCCAAATTTTAGCTCCTCAATGTTCATCGAGTTTGGTATATACTTATTTTTGGTATATAATTTGGTTTATTAATATCGCTTTTTTTAATTAAACTTATTTGATTCTTCCTGTCCCATTTCGAAATTTAGGTTCATTCCAAATAAAATTCGCCCATTTTTTAAAATTTGTATTTTCAAATAATTTTTATATATTTTATTTTTCGAAAAAAGTTTTGAATTATAAGCTATAAAATTTTTTCCATCATCTTAACGTATATGTTCCAAACATACCTGCAAAAAATTAAATTTTTTATTCAAAATTTCCGAAGGTATGCGTGAATTTATATATTGGCGCGTTTTGAAATTTGGCATATTTGTTGAAAGCGATCATACCATCAAATGGGGTTTAGGTACTTTGTTAAAATTATTTGAAAGGAGAACGATGAGACTATTTTTCCCGCTCAAACACAATGTAAAAAGTTAGGAATGATGTGACTTTTTTTCTGGTCCTTCACAATGGAAGGGAGAGGAAAATGGTTTGCCATATATTAAGAAATTCGCCAATTTAATTATTCTTGGCGGAAACTGAAAAAAAAGATGCCAAAATAAATTTGTGAATTTCTCTGGAAATTTCGCACCAAATTTTACAAAATTTAATATTTATGTATAATTTGAATCGTAGAATCGAAATATGGAAAAACATTACAGTCAAAAGTCTTTAACACGGACTCGTCGGGACTTCGGCGATTCCGGATTATTGGGTTTTCCGGATTATAGATCATCATTTTAAATCTTGTAAGATGGCATACAGAAATTATAAAATTAAAAATATGAAACTGTAATTTATGAAATAAAGAGCAATTATGATCTAAAGGGTATCAAATTTACAAAAAAAAAAAAAAAAAAAAAAAAAAAAAAGCTCAATATTTATTGTTTACTTTATTAAACATTTCTTTCAATGTAAGTTGTTTAAGTTGCTTCGTTTTATGTGCTAATACTTTCCCGTTTATTATATAAACAGACATAATTTCTTGTTCAGTTACAAAGTTCCGCTGTTCAAGTCCTATAATTGTTGTGTCGAGAATACCGACTAATTTGTCAATCGAAATTTTTTCGTTTTCAATAACCTCTCTGTCACTTTTTTCACTAGCGGAAGCGGTACATTGAAACAAGCTTTCGCTTTGTAGATGCTTTGGCAGCTCCAGAATCGGAAAATCTTTTTGACATAATCGAAAGTTCAAGCTTACTTTTTATAAAATTGCTCTAACAGTCTGCATAAGATAATAAGCCGGATCCAATTAGAAGATTAAGGAACAACGCAATCTGCAACATTAACTGAAATAGATAATTAGATAATTTTAGCACGGCTTATACTGTCCGTTATATATTAAACGCGCATGCGTAATCGCATTATGCACATGCACAGAAAGTTTGTAGCTTTGAGGTCCGGATTATAGATCATTCCGGATTATGGACGTCCGGATTAAAGACTTTTGACTGTAGTATGTTATTTCAAATAAAGACCGATTTTGTGTCAAAATGCCTATGTTAGAACAATGCTATATATAAATCTAATAAATATCCTAAGTCGCGCTTTAGAGACATGAAAAACACAATTTGAATTTCGTCAATCGGCTCAGTAGAACGGAAGATGTAGAACTATTTTTTTTTCTTTTGTGCGCAGTGTACATGTTTACGACCAACAGCTGCGAAAATAAGGTTTGTGTACGATTTTTACTGAGATGCTGTACAGGTGATGTATTTATGTTCTCAGAAATGCGCAATATTTTCAGAGATTTTGGTCATAGAAAGATGGCTGCCACGATAGCTTTCATTGTGTATTTACTGCATGTTAACGATCTTGGGATTTACATCTGATAAACTGCATTTCGGAAGTAAAATATTACATCTGAAAGATCTTAATATTTACGTTTTTCAAGAATGTTCTCAGTAAGTTGATACCTTGGGCAAGGCCGAGGGTCTCTCCCCAGTGAAAGGGAGCTCCTCGTTGTCCGACGCTGACCGGAAGTACGGAAGGATTAAACTTCCTTTTCGCCGTTGGGGCGACCGCCGGTGATGAAGGCGGGGTGGCGCACAGCAAGAGGAAGAGGAGGAGGCGGTGGTGGGCGTCGGAGACAAGAGATTGGAGAGGGTACGCAGCCCCGTTACTATGTGGGGTGGCAACTGTGGATCAGCAAGCATGTCCGATACTAGACCGTGGGCTTCGGTGACTGCTGCTAAGTCCACCGCGGACTCTCGGCGTCCCCGCCGTTGGTGATGATGATGCGTCTGTTGTTGTTGCTGCTGCTGTTGCTGGTGATGATGGTGATGGTGACTGGCCTGCAAGCAAACAGAAAATCTTAGTTAATTTTCCTCTCATGAGGAAAATCTATGACTGGTCACATAAAACACTATTCGGTCAAAATTACAACGACATTTGGATATCACAAATAATCTTGAAATTTTCGCACAGTGCTTCATGCAGTGAAATAAGATAGTTCAGGTATTTCAATAATCCCATGTTACAGTAAAAAAATGAATACGAACTTTTGTGTCTGTATAGCGATGCCAGGTTATCAGATATGCTGGATTGCAGAACGAGAGTAACATTATGCCGAAAATGTATTTCTCGTGTTAGTGAATGTATTGAGGAATGAAAAAAATTCCGTAAAATTTTTCTTCATGTATATTTAAAATATGTTATTAATATATCAAGTTTTAATATTTTACAAAATAAAAGTTCAAAAATATATTTATTTTATTCACGCTACTCTTAAAAAAACTTAGAATATGAATATTTATTATTTTCCCAATATTATATTTTTTAGTTTTGCAGCGAATTCCACAATTGTGCATCTAGAGCTACGCTAGTTTCACGATGCATATACCGTTTGAAACAGAAACCATACTTTCAATAACTTTCATTAATTTTACTTCTTAAATTACATTTTAAAATCGCGTAGTGTGCAATTGAAAGGCAAATAATCTTGTTTCTTTCAATTCCGCTTTCTGATCACGTGGGTGCCACTTTTAGAAGATGTAATGACTTTCGAAATACCATGAAGGACAAATTCTCTCAGTCTCTATGAAGAATAATGCTACTATCACTGTGGCCTTTGCAACAGGATAAGAAAAAATAATAAAGAAGCACCAAAAAGCACACGAAAACCTGAAAACCACAGCAGAAAAATTATTGAAATTACTGAAGAATCTGAAATCTTTTCCAACTGGAGACTTTATTTCACTAAATGTCTCGAAAGTTTACCTAGGCCTTTTAGGTAAATGTCCAGATTTAATTTGGGAAAGCTCTTAAAGATAAAAATAATAGTTACAAGATAGGAAAAATAACAATGGTATTGCTAAAACATAGTTTGCTAGGTGTGACTTCAGATTTCGGATGCTCAGATCTCTAAATATATACATATATGTGTTTTAATTAAAGCTGTAGCAAATGAAGTATTAGTGGTATAGCAGCTACAAGTGCTCAGTGTCAAACAAAACTGTGTGGAGGGGTAAAAAAACAAATAAACTGTGTTTATCGAAGCACATCTTATGGAAACAAATAAAAACAAAGCTGGAGTTCAAAACAACAGATTACTTGTAGCACTAAGAACTATATTCTCTTCAAAGAACTATAAGTCTAAAAGCTGTCTAATTTAGTTTACTATTTTCATTCTTCTTTGTCTCTCCTTACTAACATTTCAAACTTTTTTATGTGGACATACTCATTCAGTTCGAATAACAAAGTCTTGAGTTCAGACTTGAATGCTTGTCTCTTCATTTGTACGATCACATCATCTACGCGACAATAATAATAATTTTTCATGAAACGAAAATGATCATTGTACAATTTGTAAGTAACCAGACAGATTAAGAAATCATTGCACATTTTCTAATTAGCCTATAGGTGTAAGGAATTATTTAATAGCTAAAACAACAGGAGAATAAGAAAATGCTAGATAATATTCCAGTCAACAGGACGCATTGAAAATGACTATGCTTTTTGCAATAAGGAGAATTTTTCATTTAGCTATGACATACACACCCCACACATAGTTCAAACATTTTGTTGTTTCAAAATCAAATAGAGAACATTATCAGTTAAAAGACTAACACTTGTCACCACACTTCCTCTTCAACTTTTATCACTTTCTCCTGCCCAACTGGATTGGCTAACATATTATGGGATTTAGCTTCAGCTCATATTATCTGGGAATGAATCATCCAAAATATCATCCACCTGGGTGAACTGAAGAGTACTGAACGTTGAAAGGGATTCCTTTGTATTAAACATTAGGTATATTTTTGGAAGCAGGAGAAGTGAAAAATCAGCAACGCCTTCGCCGGGAATCGAGCCACTGACCTCTGCAATACGCGCCAAGAATGCAGACCACAACACCACGAAGGCACGCTCCCAAGTTTTGCGACATTTAGCAATTTCTCGAAAATTTTGACGATTGTTGACGATTTCTCCATATTTGCGAAAAAAGATTAGCTGTCTAAAGCATGCCAGCTTGGCGATATCTCGCCAAGTTAGCGAGATGGCTATTTAGCTCACTGTTAAGTAGACTTGCTCCTGTAATCTTATTTTTCTGATAGGGCATCGTATCTTTCAAGCATTTTATGTTACATTATTCAAAAAGTACCACAATGTCACATGTAATTTCATTAAAATTGTAATACATATATACAAAATTCGTAACGATATATTAGATGTTGTAACGAAAAACATAATAACGGAGGTTTTGCGCTAGAATGTAGCAACGTTGTTGATCTTGATCAAATCCTTGTATAAAAAATACTCACCTCAGTTGGAGCAAAATATGCACTCGTTTTTCAATGATAGCATTCTTTTTTTCATATTTTCATAATATACTTAAATTAAGAATTAGAAGCTGAAACAGCAAGTTGGTAGCGTAGAGAAGAAATGCGTAAATACTTTCTTAGTTACGTAATACACTTTATAGTTTAGTTAAGATTTTGGTCTGCAAAATGTAGCACTACGATTGGACCAAAAAATAAATAAATTTAAATTAAAAAAATCTGAAATGTTTCAGATTTTAAATTATGTCCAAAGCGGCGATTTTTAACGTTTTGTGCGTTACCTTTATTTATTAAATATCATGTTCTTTGCACTTAAACCATAAAATTTAGTTCAATAGCAATGTTGCAAAATAATTTTAAAATGGGCATATGTTTAGAATTTCCGATACACAGTTCGACGCGCTGGAGATGAAAAGGTTATTCCCCCCGCTTACAGTTTTGCCATTGCTCGCTTTGAAATCGTTGAGTTTGTTACTTAAAAATTCGTTAAAGTTCTACAAAATATGAAATCGATAATAAAACAAATTCCAAATTTCAAATTTGGGATTTCAGATGCCCATATTCGCAGTAGGATTTCGTCATTCAAAATTGGATGGCTCTAGATACCATTGTTTTATCACAATGCGAAATATATATATACATTTATGCAGATTTTTCATTATTTAATTTCTTCAAATATAATGCAGAACTATAACATTTGGTGGCAACCGTTTGAAAAGTGAACCGACATTTATAGGAGTCCGACGCAAAAAGCCAAAATGAAAGGAATAGTCCTGCGGGACTCAAATCCCTTTGGACTAAAAAAAATAAAAAAAATAAAAAAAAAAAACTGCTTTTGGGGATATTTATATAACACTCATGACACTCGTAATGAGTGTTATATAAAAATTATATGGCAAGGGTTAATTTTGAAATGACCCACTAGAGAGACATTTGCATTACTATTTTTAGACTTGAAAGCAGAAATAATCAATAAGAATACGTACGTATGTATCAATCAATAAGAATACGTACGTATGTATCAATCAATAAGAATACGTACGTATGTATCAATCAATAAGAATACGTACGTATGTATATGTGTATACACACACATACACACGTACGTACATTTATACATGCATACATGTAAACGCAAATCCATATATACATGCATATCTACATAAATTTCTGAATCCGGTCCCGATAACAGAAGCAAGCTTTTAAAGAATGCGAAAAATCCTTTAAAAGCTTACTATTAAAATTCACATCTGTTTTTGAATCACATTTAGAGAGTAACAACGGAAGGAAAGTTAACCATTTTAGTGATTCAATATTTTATTTATATGTAAAAGAGCAATACTTATTAAATTTGTAGTTGAAAATGTTAATTAAACTTATCTTTTTAAACATCGCAAGTGAAGATGTGGAAGGTCTTATACGTTTAGCTCCTAAAATATAACGAACAATATATAAACTAGAATCTTTACTCAGAGGGATCAATATAACATTCCATTTTATGTCTATAGAATTCTTACACCCTCCGTGCTAGTATCACTTTGAATTTCCAGCTTCATTAAAAGGAACTCTTTCGCAAATTGTACATTTATAGTTTTCAGTAATCAAGGAAATAAAAAATATGCCATTGTTATTTCAAACATTTTGCATATGTACACTATACAAAAACAATGACATTATTATTTTTTTTATAAAAACTGTAAAAAGGTGCTTACCATTTTATTTTAGAGCTGAACAAAATTAAAGCTTCTCGCTAAGGCTCAATTATGAATCTGATTTTACTCAGCACAGAAAAACCTTCATTCCAATAATTTCACTTCTTGTTAAATCGCAATATTTTTAATTCGACATATCCATAAGAATACAGAATGACGCTAATTTCTTACAGAATTACACAAATATAAAAGCTTCCACGTTCCTCATATTTCATGAACTTAAAATTTTCTCCCTATGCCAATAATTAATCATGAAACGTACGATAACATAAACAGTAATAAAATCAAAGATATAGTCAAAGAACGCTGATTTAAAATTGAATTATAAAGCACTATATATTTTAAACTATTCATAACAAATAGCTCAATGAAGGAAAAAGAAATCATTTCTAAATCGTATTAGAAGTTTTATTAGTACTTTCTTATTCGGTTGCTGATAAGTAAATAGAACAAATTCCTGTGCAAAACACTGCCACTGAAATAGAAAATTCCATAAGATGCTAGAACAGACTTATCATTTAATTCTGTTTACTCGCGCAAAAAGCAACTAAATAATTAAGTATTTGAAAATTAAGAGTAAATTAATTAAAAACATTATTTTAAGGGGACTCATACACTTTAAAATTCATAAGTTCTTCGAATATGTGACTGTTGCACGAATCAGGATAACTTATTTATTTTAAAAGATATTACTTTCCAACTTTTTTACAGCTGACTACATAATATAGCTGCTTTCTGACATAGTCATCAGAAAGTTTGTGTTGCCACAAATATTTTTATAATTTAATCCGCTTTGTGACAACA